ACGAGCAGTGTTGCTTCCACATTTTTTTCATCTTCATGATTTATAAAATTTCAAAATTATAGTAAATTAAATGTTTTACATAGGTAGCTGTGTGCCACATGTTTATACTGCTGCAGCTGTGTATGGCTTTGTAGAAGAATTGGTTGTCAATGACGACCCAGAATATCAGGTATGTTCCATAGAACTCAATAAAACACTGGTACTTGTACATATATAGGTGGCTTTCATACTTTCCAGGAAGGTACCAAGGGTGGTTAGTGTATGATGTCTCGTGGATGTGGAGATCAACTTTAATCATATTAGGCAAGTGTGACCTCCACAAATAGAACCATACAGTGTTTTGTCTGGTGGGCCTGTATTACTTGCATTGACTAACACAATGTTTTTGTAGCATAGTGATATTTCCAATCTTCTATACTGCAAATCAAATTGATTTCAGACTATGCATTATAAAAAGCAGAGCTATATCAGCTAATAGACTGTTTTGTTTTTTAGACCCCGTTCAGATACAGTCCGAAAACAGGGACTTATGTGTGTGCATGAACCAATTACATTCAAACTGCACACATGCATCATACATAATATTATGCTTATGCACAACAATTTGTTTCACGCTCTGATTCAAAATGGCCAAATGGCAGCCATTTTTGTGCTAAAAATCATCAAATATCAAGCATTTCTGGATAGATTTTGTTCAAACATACATTAGACATTATGGGTTCCTGATGCACGTCATTTTATTTTTCAGATCAAATTTAAAATAGCCGACTGGTGGCCATTTTGTGTTAATGAATGCGCTTCTAGAGGCATATCTCTGACATGCTTTGACTGATTATGTTCAATTTTTATATATTCATTATACATTATGGTATAGATATATACATGTATTCAAAATGGCCGATTTTGTTTTAATTAATGCTGTTCCAGAGCAATATCTCTCGATATGGACAAGTACTCGTTTGACGATCAGATACAAGATGTCAATCATTTTAATGTTAAACAATCATCATAATCATATTCCTGACATGTTTATATTTCAACTATCTTTCTATAAACTAAACTGTATATCTTAAATTCGATAACTAACAAGGCTGTCCATGCAAGTGAATTTGATCTGGTATAACATAAACTCACTACTACCAGGCAGTTACATATTATTTATTTATGTCTCCTCAGTGGATTGATAAGATTCGAACACCCAGGTCATCCAATGAAGCAAGGCAGAGATTGTTTTCACAGTTATCAGGTATAATACATTACATGCATGG